TTAAAAATAATTTAATAAAAACACTCTCAACCATTCAAATCCTCTAATCTCAAACCTCTCCTTTCTTACTCTTCCTGGTAACCCACCCCGCCATCTTAAACGGAGCTGGCCCAGGGACCTCCTTAAAATTTAAAAAAAAATTAAAAATTAATAAAAACCGCTTAGAATTATGACCCTACATTGGATCCCCATAATTTATATTGTATAAATGTATTACAGATTGTATATATTCTTGTTTTCTAATAAGAAAAAAAAAGTTCACAATAGTCTGTTCATTGGCTCCGATTGGCTGGACACGCCAACAAAATGTATATATATAAGTATACAACTACAGTGTACTGTGTACCGGTTATTTTTATTAAATTTCAGTCTGTTTTCATTAATTAGTTCGTTGGTAATAACATATTATTAACATAGCCTATATGGCTATATATAAGAACATCTTACATAAATCATAAATGTAATATAAGTTATAACTGAACCAGAGGGAGACTGCTGACTGTGCACGATGCGTTTTTTATGTTTCTGACATCACTCCTCGGAAGAAAATCGTAAATACGCCACTGCAGCTGTATACAACAATGTTTAATGAGGTAGGTAAATATTTAATATTTAATTATATTATAACAATATGTTCATATAATTCATGGACAATACCAACAATAATAATAAGCAGAGCTCGGGACTTATAGCATTTGCTTATTTTTATGGATTGAATTAAAATGTAGCTGAGTGCTATGGGAGTGCATGTCGTGTTACAACACGTTCGATTATGAAATTGGAAAGTCCTTTTTTTGCTTTTTTCAACAATTTAAAAAAAAAATTTTTATTAACAGTTTTTCTGGTTATTTTTGCTTTTTTTTTACCAGTTTTTCTACTTTTTATGGTTTTATCCTGCAAAGTGGTTTTTGATAGAATTAAAATTAAATGCAAAATTAAATCATTCAATGCAATAATGACGATAAGATTTAGTTAATAAATTAATTTTTTTTCAACTATTTGTAAATATCGTTTACATTTTATTTTTCAGAAAATCCCTCGGAAAATCCATAAACAATAATGCAAAATGTCACAAAAGTAAAGTTTGATTTTTTTAGAATATAAAGATTTATTTTTATTTTTTTTTATTTTTTAGTTAGAAACTATTCCTTACATTATTTTTTGCACAGTTAAACAAATTATGTCTAGTAACTACTCCATCATGTTAGAAGAAAGTTTTTTTTTTTGATTAAATATTTTTGCTTTAATTTAAGTGTTCTTAATGCTTATTTAAGTACTTGTAATGATGTTTTTAAGCACTTATTTTAATGATTTTAAGTGCTGTATGTCCCAAATCTGATAATAAGTAAGGTTCTATTACTAAAATGCTCAATATTAGGTATAATATGGCAATATACTAATAAGTAATAGGTACCTACCAAATCAGTTTTCGGTGTCGTTCAACGAATACGCGCCGACGATCACAAAGACAATTACGACAACGATCACGGCCACCGCTCCAGCAAAAGAGCAGGACGACCGCCGCGGAGTGATGCCGTCCCAACAGTACGACGAGGCGAAGGTTGCTGCAGTACAGCGACGGTGACGAACAAAAAATAGGCTGCGGCGGCGGCGGTGGCGGCCCAAGAGCATCAGTCGTCTCATCGAGGACAGTCAGTGTTGGTAGGTACTAGGTAGTAACAGTGCAACGGATAACGACGCGGGTCGAGCTCGACAGCGATCTTCGTCGCAGCCGCTATTTCGACACGATCGCGACAAACGCAAACCTATCGACAACGGCCCTCATAAAATACAATAATAATGAACAGCCCGATCAGTGGCCCAACTAGGAGGAGGGGTTAGCCCCTGACTATGATTTAGCCCCCCCCCCACAAAAAAACAATATCCCTTTTTGATTTAGATATAAGCCCTTAATCCTCATGAGTTATTTTAAATCTATATTCTTGTTAAGTTTAGGCTGTAGCCCCCTCTGCAGAATTTTAACCCCAGTTTCGCCTATATTATGAGCCCGACACAAAATCGTAGCAGGTATTTAGGTACTTACTTCAACGTCCCGACTTTGGATCCATATGGTAATCACCGACCTTCATCGTAAATTTCATAAACTGCAACGCTCGGTGATCAAATATCACAGGTAGGTATACCCTCGTGTCACCATATACGATATTTATACATGGACGGTTGCAATCGACTACCTAGAATATTATATTGTTATATACGTTGGAACCTATACCGGGACAATAATCGAATGTGCGATTTTATATATTTTATTTAGCGATCGTATGTGTTTCCGATATTTTTCTGCACAACACGTAATCGATGTTATGCCCATTCTTTTTTTTCATGTACCTATATAATATTAATTATACTCGTGTTCGTGTATGAGTATGACGTAGAATAGCGTATCAAATATCAATATAAATGAACATCGTACCTACATTAGACGGTGGATCATGTTATCGATACCTACCGATTTAAATATACCAAGGTTTTTTTTATATATAAAATATATAACTATACTAAATACTTATTATCGACATCCGGTCGACCTGATTTGCAGTGAATCATAACACATTGTTTATTTGTTTTTGTTCCAGATAATGAAGCAATAATAACAGTTTTTAAATTAACGAAAAGCAAAACACATATTTAAAATAAATATTCAGTATTCACCTCTAACCTGTAAACAGGGATGGACTGGGACCCATTTGGCCCACTATTACGATAATAAATTAAAATTATACCTAGTATAGTAGTATTACAAGTTACAAACTTAACTTTTAGAACTTAATTTTTGAATTTTGGTTAATCACGTAGTCACGTCTCACCATAATAAAATATAAATAGGTACCTAGTGGCGGCACACACTTAAAAATAAATAGGGGTAGCATATTGAATCAGTAACCTCTATATTGGATAATAGGCTAATGACTATAGCCTATAATTATTCAATCGTTTATGTATTTTTAATATTCTTATATGAAGTAGAATTTCTATGATGTAAATATTTTGGGGCCAAGGGGTCTACCCACCCACCAAAAAACACAATATGTTGCTTTTTTTCTTTTTATATCCAAGATTTGAAAAATTAAAACTATGTATCTCTTCTACTATTAACAATAAAAAATATTTACTGGAGTCATATTAATTTTTTATGAACGTTTTAAATTCATAATTTTACCACTTTGAATTTTTACCGTAAATAAATTATTAACGATTTCTCATCGAACTATATTCTTATTTTAATGTACTTCAACTTGAAATTTCCACCAAAAGTTTAATTTACCATTTTCTATTTATGATAACATTTTCAAAATATTTCAAAATTCTTCAACTATTTTTGAACCAATTATACACTTCAATTTTTTTTAATAAATATCGACAAAACAAATTTATGGGTCAAAACATTTGAAAATTTAAAAATATTAAGAATACACTAGGCACGGTTTTTTTTTATTCTAAGTTTAAATGTTGACAAAGTTGGATATTTAAACAAAGAATAACAAATTTTAGACATCTTGCTGTGATTTAAAATTGTAAGTACTTGAAACTTTTAAAGTACCTATTTAGGTATATTATTATATTTTAACACACAATTACATTTTCAATAGCAATGTAACCTACAATGTCTATATTACTAATACTAAAATAAATTACTCTAATACCTAGCAATAATCTATATCATGAAATATATATGGCATTATCGTTATGGTTATATGGTAACATAGGTAGGCTGCAGGTAGGCTAGATGAGAATAGTTTTTCGTATACAATGATTTTATATCATTGAATTCAAATTTAACACATAATATAATATTCTTACTCTAGCATGATATACATCATTACTATATGGCCTCTAGTATCAACTGTTAGTCAGAGCATTCCTACTTGCCCACCTTTTTTTTTACTTTTGACCCAATTCACTACCGGAAACCACCCCTCAAAGTTTAAAATCTATGCACTTTTACTTCCCTAAAGGTAATGGCAGAGATAATATATAAAACACTCCACAAATCATCGTAAAATCAATACATTCATCTCTGATCTCTCCACTCAGAATCTAATATATAGAACTACCAGACTACCAAACAACCTCTTATACATATTTTTAGGAGCTAAAAACTGGTGAAAATCTTTCAGAATATTAGTTACTCTGTATTGTATGTTAGTTTTACTTTTGTCATCCAAACAAAATTCAACCAGTTAAGCATTTAAAACATAAGAAAATACAAAAAAAAAATATATTAAATAGTTTGAGATTGTAGAATATAATAGTATTATTTGTAGATACAAAAAAAATAAATATAAAAATAAATTTCAATATAAAAAGCACATAATATCATGGAATAGTTTATGTAGTGTCTTAAGTATACAACTATGAAAATAATTGGATACATTATGTCATTAGGAAATGTATAATATATTATAAATTATAGGAAATATGTTATCATTAAATGGTTTGTAATTTGAATTTTTCCAATAGATGATTGATTCATTTTAAACGCCACTTAGAATCAATCTCTTCATAAATACAGGTTCAAATACCATATTCTTTGGTCATAATAACCGATTATACATAATTATATAAATTTAAATATAAAATAAAAATAAAAAATAAATATTAAGACACTAAATCCACTTTAATACCTATCTACCTGCATTTAAAAATTGTTATAAACTATTGTGAGATTGAATAACATTTTTAGATTACTGTAGAAAGGAATCAATTTAACATTTTTAACTTAATTGGAAAAAACATATGAATGTAAGAAAAAAATTTGTTCTTCGTAATGGTATTAGTTCTTCTAATGATTTTTTAGCATTTAGTAAAAAATAAAATAAAAAATTATACATAATAATGGCAATAAAAAAATTATAAAATACAATAGTAAATTTAATACAGACGTCCAACTTGTATCATTAATAATTGTACTTTTCCGTCGTTTATAAATATTAATAAATACATAATTAATAATGCAATTGTAGATTCGTTGATTTAAATTAATTTGTAGCCCCATCACCAACTCTTAACACTTTTTGACTGCTCTCCACGAAATCCTTTTTAAAATAAATTACAATTATATTATTAGTATTGGTATGTAAAAACTTTTAATAATTTAACCTACCATAAGTTCTTTACTCATGTAATACTCTTGAGTGACTCCGTCATTTAGATTACAATCTTCGCAGAAACACATAAATATTGTGTCAATCACCATCTATGGATTTAATTAACTTTAATATTTACTACATATTATTCATAAATTGTAATGAAAAAAAAAAATGAATATCTTACCTCATATACAGAAATAAAACAATGTGCCACGAAATAGGCGAAAATTCCTGCAACTGTAAGCGGAACCCACAAATGAAGGACTCCAGGTTTAGTCTAAAACAAATTTCAATAAATATTAAATATATTATTGTATTAAATCATTTGATTGGTAACCGGTTTTAATTTTGAGAAACAATTACCAGTTACCACCAAATTCAATTAAGGGGTAACATGTAACGGTAACTATTTTTTTTTTTCAAAATCGTTAAATTCAACTAAACAGGAAATATCAAAAAACTTAACGTTATTTTATAATTTTAATATTTTTGCTTTTTGGAAATATAATTATATTTTTGGATTAATAATTTTATTTACAAGATAATAAGTACGATTAAAGACAATATACTATCTACAGCCACGATAATAAGTAATAAGCACCAAGATACTAAGTATGATTCATAGACATATTACAAAACATATTAGATGATTATTATTTATTTTATTATATTGTAATTTATGTTGATTAACACTTTTTCATAAACTATTTTTCAATCAATGATTATAGCCTATAGGTAATGTAATTCTAATTTATTTTATCCATAGCCTCAAATGATAAAATATAGCCATTTAAGTATTTATTATTTAATTTAGCTTGTCCCCTGAACAATTTTATAAAGTGGATATTTGTTTTGTGTAAATTTAAGTAAAACTAAAATTTATTTAATTAATTTATTTTCCAAATAAACATAAATGGAAAAAACTGTTTCCAAAGTAGTTACCAGTAATCTTGAAGAATTAATACTGCTTCCAAACAGATGACCACATTTTTAGAGATAATTTTGGTAACCGGTAATCAATTACCACTAATCCTAAAAAACTCCTAAGCCCGGTAACTACATTTTTCATAAGCGGTTTCATGCCCTGGATATAAGTAAAGAAATCATAGAGCATTTAGTACTAATGTGATATCAACAGTAAATAATACATTATCGCAGTCCCGTATAATTATTAGATATAAAATGTAAATTAATATATAACGAAAAATTTGTATCTAATATAAGATATTAATTAATATTGATATTTAATATCGATATTTTTAATATTGATTACAATACCTCAAGCATTTTGAAGCCTAGTAGTACAGTGGATGTGACCACAAGTACTTTTCCTAAGAAAAGCACAAAATCTCCCACAGAATTTATGGCAGCAACACGTAGTACGTTTGAAGTTATCATTTTAAAAGCTTGTTGTCCTGATCTACAGAAGTTATCACCATAAATAGCTAAAAATTAAAAATTACATTATTAATTTCACATATTCAATTACTTTATGATATAAAATCCAAATATCATAACTATTAAAACAAATGAAATATATTATTAAGTATATTTTAATAATCCAAATTCCAAAAACGTATAGAATAATAATTATTCTCAACTATAATATAACTGTAATTGCATACTTAAATGGCCCTTGGCCACAAGTTCGCATTATATTCCAAATTAGATCACCTGATTGCACTGTATAGTGACTAAATTATAAAAAACTATTGGTTATATATTTTTTTCAGTGAAAAATGGATAAATTTGTAATGTTTTAGTTAAAATTATCGTTACATATTGAAATTCTAAAACAAATATTTATATAAGTTATTTTTTTTTTTGAAATAATCCTTTTAAAAATCTCCAAGGAAGTATGGCCAGAATATTATACAAAGACATGAACAGCCACCACTTACAAGTTAACATAATGTCAATATAGAATAAGTTTACCTATTTAATTAGAACTTAAGAAGTTAACCATATACCATTTAATTTTCAAATTTATATCTTAATCAGATAGATATACCTAATACTTAATTGCTGACAAAAATAAATATTTCTTACCAATTTCGATGTAAGCATTTCTTGTCAAATATTGTATAAATTGTTGTATGCAACTGAATAAACATTGAAATATTTTATACAATGACTTTGCTACTTCATTTTGTGAGTCTTTCAGGGTTTCATCAATGAAATTTAAAATAGCTCTAATTATTTGGAGAACGGCTATAATGAACGACCCTAAAGCTACAGATCCCATATGATAGTTGAATAAATAACTAATAGATGTTGAAATTGGAGATGAAACATTGTCTTTGTTTCTAGTGAAGAACCATGTGGCAACTGAACCAGCAATTATCATATGTTGACAGCCAATGATAAATTCAATAACCCAAACTAATACCAAAATGTTATAAACCCTAGCAAATTTCATTAACTGGTCCTTTTTGTAGTAAACATTATGGCTTAGCGGTTCAAAAGCAGGGGATCCAGATCCTTGAATGAGTACAGCGAAATAACTCCATAGCACGATGGCCAAGCACAGGAATAAAAACGTCTGAATGGACAAACATAATATAAAATATTAGTATTTTTATTTATTACACAAATAAAATACTTATTAGCAGTCTTGTTAAATATTAAAATACTTTTTAACAAGTGTATTTTAAATACTTTTTCTTTGAATTTTATTAGAGAATACTAAATACTTTTTTTCTTTTTACCGTCGTATTTCAACAAACAATATTTTTTTGGTATATTAAAATTTTGAAAATTTTCTTTAAAATAATATTTTATAATTAATTTAAGAATTTTTAGGATTTCATTAAATACCTAAAATTCATATTTAGTTTAACTTGACAACATAATAGGTATGTGACAACTGAAATTCTTGAACAAATTAAATAATTTTAAGTATACATTAATTGTAATAAACGTAAAAGCATTTTAATATAATACAAAAAGTACTTTTAAAATGTATTTGTATTTATATTCAAATACTTTTGAAAGATAGTACTCAAATGTATTGTATTTCAAATACACATTACACCAAATATTTTAATACATTTTAAAAGTATTCTTAACAACTGCTTATTAGTTATTATTAACTTTTAACTTACCACCATTGGTTGTATGAGTAATAACGGCATGCTTTGTATAGCTTTACCAGATTCTTTAAATAATTGGACAACAAGGGCAATGCGGCTTCTCATTGCGACAATGATTAACAAGATAATTATCTAATATAAATAAAAAGTTACACAATTTACACATTAATAATAAAAGTATTGTATCTTAAGACATATACTCACTGTGGATATTGTGGCGATTAATGCGAATGCAAAGTATGTATTTACGTCTCGTTGAGCCACTTGATCTTTAATTTCAGAATCAGACTTTTGTTTCCAAGTGATCCTACACAATAGAATGTTAATAAGAAAACCATTAAAACGTATTGTAAAGATTCATTTTGTACCACCCAAAATTTGAAATATATTACCATAAGAAAATAGATCCTGCAATACTGACTACAACAACACCAATAAGTACAAACCAAACAACAATACCAGCAACGAATCTTATCAAAAACACAATGACAAGTGATACAACTGCAAGTAAACAAAATACAAAACTCAAGATTTAGCAATCATATAAAAAATTGGTGAATTAACAAAATAGAATGTCTTACAAAATACTAAAATTCATATAATTAACCGCAATTTCAAACATTTTAAATATCAATTAAGATATATATTTTAAGTTTTTGCATAAAAGTTATTATGAAACTTATAATATTAAATCTTCTAGTAGTTTCAATATTGTTTGGTTAATACTGATTATTGTCCAATCATAATTATTTATGATACTAGATTTTTTTTTTAACTAACAATATAAATAATTAAAAATTCCAATATTAATATTGCTATTCAACAAAAAGTTTAGGTGCTTCATGGAAAAACTTTTTAAAAATATTTTCATTAAAAATTCTTATAAGTAATAATATTAAGTTTGTATGAATATTAAATTAACTTACTAAAAGCAAATATGCAAAGATAAATTATATCCCATTTAGTGTGTTGTAAATCTTGAGTCATCTCCTATAAAATAAAACACTTCATTTTTAATTGTTATTTATAAGGACCAGATAAAACTATAAACGCGGAAAAAATCAAAATGTTAACGAAATTAATAAACGTACAATTACCTAAGTCATTGAAATTGCATTTTGTAAATCAACATAATGTATACAAATAATATAATTTGACAAGTACATCGACAAAAAAAAAGATAGTAACTATTTTGCTGAGCACAAAAGTGGCCTATTTGATTCTCAACCATCATTCCGAGTAAATTAGCTTTAATGATTTTACTAATTTTGTATCACTGACAACAATTTTAATTTTTTTTTTTTTTTTTTTGGTGGAGGTGGAAGGTTCTTGTTGAAATCCACTGTAGATTACATCAGCGTTTTTGAAACCAAAAAAAAGTCAAAATTCCCTAAGTTAATGTTGGATAGGTCACTTTTGCATTTTTCTTATAACCACTTCATAATTATAAAATGTGGTTTAGGTCAAATTTGTAAAAAGAAATGAATCAAACATGGCATGTCAACTAAACTCTTTTAATTAACTTTTTAACAATTTTAAAATAACAATATAGGTATTTTAAATTCAGACTTATGAAATAAATAGGCCAGTGTTGCATTATAATAAAAACAAAAAAAACTGGATGCAACAACAGAATAGTGCTGCTCTCTAGAAAAAAAAAGATATTAAATAGGTTTTGCTTTAATATTAATTACACGATTTTGAACAACTTGGTACAGTTACTTCAATTTTTCATTTTTTTTGTGGTTTAGGCCACTTTAGAGCTCAGCGCCTCAAATAATGTATTGTCTTAATTATTAAAATAAAAATAATATCTAAATTTAATTATTATATACCTATATAATAATTAACAACTAAAGAATGACATATTTAAACAAAACTTACCTGAAACAAGCTGCCAATTGATGAATTTGTTAAAATATTGTTGATGGCTGATTCATTGCCTTTTGGAATACATCTATGTAAGAACTCTTGGCTAAAATTAAAAATCAAATAGTTTTTAATAAACAGCAAACAATGTTACATAATATAAAAATAATAACAAATACATACTAATCCTTAAAATCAGAACACCTCTCTACACATTCTCTCTTGACGTATTTTAAATCGGCTACTTTATAAATAGGAGCATCAATTTTTAAGAATCTAAAAATAACGAATGTATAATTATGTGATTATTTAAAAATAATACTGATTAACTTACGGTTTATTTGTCATGTCTTTACCAGTGCAAAATTTTGGATCAGGGTTTTTATTTTTAAATCCACAAATGTCACCACATTCATCAAAGCCATAGAACAGACGATTTACATCACCATTTGTTGTACAGTATATGACTAATCCAAACTAAAAGAATAACGTAAATTAATAATAATAAGTACAAAATAAAGTTCATAATATAAAATAAGTATACTTACCAAGGATATCAATACAAACAAGAAGAGGACCAAAAATGAGCAATCTGTACAAGATCTTCCTTTTACAGGACCTTTGAAATTGGCCTATAAAAAATGTATATAAAAATGTCAATAAACAAGAAGTTGAAATTGAATTAAATAAATTAAATATTAGATATGGTTGAAATGTGTAACACAAACATTTTTTTCAGCCATAATATACAGGTACGTTAGTCAAAGTGATACAGTGAAACTTCAATGATATATTGTATTGATAGGAGAATACAAAGTAGTATATACAAAATAAGTTAAGTTTGCTTCTTTAGATTAGAGTAATAATTAAATAATAATAATACATAGTATAAATGTATAATACTATTAATGTCACTATATACTATATAGCATATGTATGTCAAATAAGGGTGCCCCCTCCTCTGAAGAGAATTTAGTAGTTCAAAAATTAAAGTCAGAAGACTTTCTGAAATTAACATTTGTGGTGATCCATTTCCCATCATCTTGATTTTCACGAGGCTGCGACCAATGGGTCCTCAAGACAGCTGACTCTAGATCACAAGGCTCAAGGAATAAGATCAGCCCAAGAATTTTTAAAACGTTTTAGATCTGATGGAGATAATTTTCTCAAATCAATAGTGACAGGAGGCGAAACTTGAGTTTCTTACCACAACTCAGAAAACAGAAATTAAATGAATACTGATATATTATATAATGACTAAATGGCAGAACAATTTATCCCCTGGCTGTAAGAAAGTCCAAAGTTGTTAAGTCAATCAGAAAAATCATGGCCTCTATTTTTTAGGATAACATTTTTGAAACCCCGATTGAAATTTAGCTAAAAAGGGGGAACGATTAACAGGGCACATTAAACAGGCACTCTGAAACTTCATCGCGCAATCAAAAAGGTTTAGGTGAAGACTATTGAATATTAATCTCCATTATGTGTCTCTTTCATAACGCTCAGTATTGGGTCGCCCATGTCATAATTGTTTGAATCTGTTTGGATGGGATGTTCTGACCCCCCCTACCCTACAATCCTGATTTAGCTTCTTTGGACATCGGACTATTAACAATATTGTTGATTATCAAATTTAAATAATTTAATAAGGCATTAACAGATACAGTTCTGATCAACTTTTGTAAATTGTATAATATTTAATAACTCAGTTTTTAAAAACAAACTTGTTGGCAAATTCTTTTTTCAGCTCAAATTGTATATTTATAACTTGTGATACCTGTAATACGAGCTGTGATATGTGTACAAAACTGTAAATGTTAAATTTTGCATTTCAGCTACACTATAGAAATATGACTAATGAGTAATGATTATACTAATACTATATACATACCTTTGCATCTGGTGAAGATGGTTCAATTCTATCCGAAGAACCGCAACAACTAAATAAGTCTCCCATTGTAAAAGCTAAAACAAAAAAAAAATTAGGTACTATAATAGTTTCACATTGCTGATACAAATATTGAGAAAATACTACTCTAAAATAATTTATAACATTAATGCTACTATATTTTATAACTTAATTGTCTCAATAACGATAATCTAATTACATTTATAAGAACACATATTAGCATTGATATATTATTAAGTTAAACTCATATCTTTGGTTTTGTTGATAATTATTTAATTATTTAATAAATACATTTAAATAACATATTGATCCAAAATATTAAATATAGAAAAAAAGGTAAAGAATAGGTTGTATTTATTCCTTCTTCATTCCGAGGTAAAAATTATTTAACTTTTTATATAATTCCTGATGGGGGATTTAAAAAAATGCTCTGATTTATATTATAACTTATGAGGTAAAGTTGTTGATAGGGAACAATGATATGCTATATATAACAATGATGTCTGAAATTATAGAAAACATTTTTTAATATTTTCCATGGAGCCCAAACACTTGTAATTGTAATTTAATCATACATGATTCATCTATTTATACTTAAATACACCTACCCACTAGATTAAACTTTTTAATTTGTATTTATTTTTACATTTTGTTATACATAACACTATAGCTAATTACGCCCAAGTTATATAATAATGAAACTTATTTTTCATTAGTAATTTAGAAAAGTAATTAGACAGTTTAAGATTTAAGTGTCCATTTAAACTATTTTCAGGTAATTTAAAAAAAAAAAAAACAGAAAAACACTGGGTGAAGCTAAAATCATTATATTAATTCAAATTTAACTTTAAACTTTAACTGTAAACTGAATAAGCAGAATATTCAGAACTGCCAATTGGTCAAAATTCGACCATGAAAACCATTTTAATAATTGAAAATTCAACACACTCAATAAAATATGACATTTCTAAATTCTAATCTCACACAGAGTTCAAAGTTAGCATTTATGTTTCTTCTCTTTTTACTCGCAAGAATTATTTTTAAACGGGAAAAACAAGTAACAAACAATAATTACTAACTATTGTTTTCTTTTATTATTTAAATTGGTTAGGTTACTGCATTTATATTTTGTATTATAGACTTCGCCAGGAGAATTTTTTACTGGCCAGATAGAGTTTCTGTTGTATTCCTATTTTCATATTTTACCTGCTTAATGTCGTCATAATAATATGTATATTTTTTGAGCAAATACGTTTCCAGTGATACATCTATTTTTTCTCTATTGTGTATATAGTCAAAGTTATTAGCACAAAAAAAAAATTACTTGTATTATAATATATTATAAATTATTTATTTATTTAATATTTCATGATTTAATTATTTAATAGATACAAACACATAATTCTTTACCCACTAACAACAGTATGTAACAAGGAATATTAGGATAAATTTTAACAAAATGGTTACCTAATCATAATTTACAAAACGTTACAACACAAGAAACTGAATGAAAGAATCTGATGATCATTACATTTTTTTCTACTGAAAAAAGTCTTGAATACCTAAGCCAAATAATTTTTAATAATTATTATCGATTAACACCTAAGCCAATAATGAAAAAAAAATTGCAAACACTGTACCAACACCATGTGAAAATATAAAAATTGTTTTACCTATACCGGTCATAATATTGCTGGTCAAAAATAAAATCTCATTAATCATCTACGGACTATGACCTATAAAGACATAAATCTGAATAGATTCCTGTATTATAATGTATAGCGAACCTAGAGCATGTGTGCTTAAGTTGGCAAAATGTTAACGGCACACAAAAATATTTTCATTTCTTTGTTAAATCTTGTATTTATTAGAAAATAATAGTGAAAAAAAAATATTAAGACTTCAGTTTCAACTAAAAAGGAAATAATAAAAATAAATGTTTTTAAATAGGTACTAAATACCTACTTCAGGCATTGATTGAAATATTTAATATAGGTATACTAAGTATATTTAATCATTGACTTCAGGTTTGTCAATTTTTTAACAGATATCAGTATATCACTAACCACCAACAATGACAAAAAAACACATTTATAGAACATTCTAGATACGAACACATTAGTGGCAAGTGAAATTTTTTTTGTACTTTGATTACAAGATTTTTATCGCCAAATGCCGACATGTAATCGGGGATTTGGAATCAATGGGTGAACAAAAAAAATCTTCTCAAAATGCACCGTTCCGAACAATGTATAATATAATACATATTATTATCTCGTTGGAGGATGCTTTGTGTTAATAATACTTACTATACACAATGATTGTCTTAATCATGACAAAAATTGTGCCATAATTAGCAGTAATAATGGTAATGGTTTCTTGTGAACAACTAACTGGCCCTATTGCCTATACATGCTAATAGACTATAGAGTATAGACTATAGACCATTGGACACTGTCGAAACTCTAAATTAAAACAAAAATAGAATATTCATTTTTATTTTTAGTCCATTACATGGGAATATTATCGCACTTTGATTGTTGTTTTATTTCTACTTCTACAATATTTTTTTGTTTTCCTAAATTAGTTACTAGCACAAAAAATTGTCAACAGTAATGTGGTATTAAAAAATTAGCACCAAAGGCTTAGCAATAACGAAAAAATATGTTATTTTAAAAGATAATATGTCTACCAACGTGATATTACACGGTATTGCTATTAAAATGTTTTTATTGTTGTAAATACCCATAGAGTAATATTAGTCAATGTTATTACCGAATAGGTTTTCACTTTAGGAGGTAAATACCCCCCTCCAATAGCTAATGTAACTTATATGATTTAAAATATTATGCTGTTTTTCCACCGGTGTGTGATACAGGGAAAACCACGATTGAGATGGAAGCAAGTGGTAAGAAAAGATGTGGAAGCAATATGAAGCCCTATAGTATTAAATTTATAGAGCTAAAATTGCTGACAATTTTTATCACAATAATAATAAGTATTTTTATATTATTGTAATATAAGTATATATATTAAAATAAATGAGCGTGTTCAATAATCAATAGACAACAAAGTTTTTTATGCCAAAAAAGTTTAACGAGTTCAATTTTAATTATTACCTATACCTACACTTACAAACTTAGAATTATTAATTTGAGCCACACACTTAATATGTTTATAAAAAAAAAAATAGGCAATTTCTATTTTCAAAACTCAAGTCCCAACTGTGTTATTATTATATTACTCACCCGATTTGATCGTTATTATAGTTAATTATAACGTAATTTTAAGTATTCAGGTACTTGAAGTCTTGAATTAAATAAGTAGCAAGTAGAAATTAGAATATACTAAATGTTATTTCATAATAAAGTAACGTCCCCCGTTAATGTATTCAGGTTCCCATTCCCATAATAATATTATATTAGATTATTATATTATTATTTATATTATATTATATTATATCAAGGGCCACCGCCCACCACATACCTAAACTCGCCCCTGGTCGGGCTTGGTGTGATACACAACTTACTGTACACGCGGCCGTAATGTGTCAAACCTTAGTGTGCAAGTATACAGGTGTAAAAACGTCGCTATTTTATTTCATATTAGAAACAATATTATATACCAGGGCAGTAAATAATATTCGTAGGCAATACACGCCCGTTCCGCTGCAGTGTCGCTCGTAAAGTTTTACAGTCGATTACTACGGCAGCAAGGTATATGATTAAATACCGTGTGGCGTGTGGTATGTCAACAGGTAGGTTTATACTTTATACAAATATGAATTGAGCGATAGCGGTTTGCGAACAGGACACGAAATGAGTTAAAATTAACTGCAATTTATCAAGTGTATGTGTATAATATTATCTACCATATTATTATCATAACCACTTACACAAAAACGGTTATAAATTCAACTAATAAGAATCGAGAGCGTCTCGAAATAAACAAGTCTCGGAGTGAACAAAAAAAAAAACACGTATAATTATAGAAAGTCGAGTAGAGTAGAAAGTTAGCGTTGGCGGTATTCGCCGGATCACCTATAAATAAAAATACCAGCCAACGACGTGCTATATAATAATATAATAGTTTCGCGAACTATGACCTTTGCCCTTTGATATAGTAGGTACTTAACTACAGTGTTGTTGTACAGTGTCACAGTGACATGTCGCATTGTTGCGGCGGTCGTCGAAGTTCGGAACGATAACTGTTCAATACTCTCCCACCCTGGTCTGAGACAATCACCCCGTTTTTGGGCGGCGTGGCCATGAACGTTTTTTTTCATCCGACGCCACGGCCCCACACATCCGTCGGTCGTAAGTCTCAAAACGTCATATATAAACACAAGCCCACGGAGTTTTATCAATCGAACTGCGGTCACGATGGTAGCCGGCCGGTGACCGAGAAAAGATTTAAAGGCTACAGATCTGTTGATCGGTACATCAGAATCGACGTGTCCTCGGACGATTTGCTTGTAAGTTTATTGTGAAAAAAAATACTGTTCACAGAGTTGATTACGGTCTATCGACGACGTTATAAATTATATTAATAACTATAGAGTATAGACATAGGTATAGCCGTATAGGTAATATATTATAATAATGTATTAATGTTATGCCCGATGATTTGTACTTTGCTGTCTATGTGAAATGAATAATAAAATTACAAATTAAATAATACAAATTAAAAGCGCGAGGGTAAATTGCTCAAAACCGCATAAAAACTGAAAAAATCAAAATGGGTGTTGTATGCGGACCAGTGTTCTTGAATATTGATGTAAAACTATATTACCTACTTACTAAATTTACTATAGCACTATATAGATTCGCTTACCGTTTGTACAACACGTCCAAACACTCGAGGAAGACGACGGCGGTAATCCCCGTAAATCGGCTGCGGACCGGTTTTCTGATCAAAACAACGGGCCGACAATGTCAACAAAAACAACAACGGCCAACGAGTAAAACACGACTCGACGGCGGACGAAGGGGCGTAGTGGCAGCAACAGTGTGACTGGGCAGTGGGCCACAGTGTCGAAAAAGTAAAAA